ATGACACTTTCTACTTCTCCACTGTTGGCAGGATCAGTCAAACACTGTGACAGTCCTGGTTTAGTCCTGGTTTAGTCCTGGTTTAGTCCTGGTTTAGTCCTGGTTTAGTCCTGGTTTAGTCCTGGTTTAGTCCTGGTTTAGTCCTGGTTTAGTCCTGGTTTAGTCCTGGTTTAGTCCTGGTTTAGTCCTGGTTTAGTCCTGGTTTAGTCCTGGTTTAGTTCAAAATAGAGACACTGGGACATTTCTTGTATAAATTGGGACAAATCCGTGGTTTTGTATAAATCTGTGGCACAGAGACTCGGGTCTGGGACTGTCCGAGGAAACAGGGACGTCTGGACTTTAGGGGTGTAAGAAAAAATAGATTCAGTGACCTGTCGTGATGCTTCATTCCACAACTCTTGAAATTAAATTAAATTCACTGTTCTCATGATAAAAAAGTAATAATAAATGATATTTCACACAGTTGTGTTTTCTTGGAGGTGCAGTTGTATTATTAGAAGTATTTATTGATAAATTGTGAAATATCATCCAGAGTTTTAGTATCGGGACAAATCCTGATAAACTGACTCGTGACGTGTATCGTATCGTCAGACTCGAGGCGACGCTCGCCCCGACCGAACTCTCTGCTGTGAACTCAAACTCCTGAACAGGAGCACGAACGCTCGGACTCGTCACAGGAACATGAAACCCTGCTCTTTAAATCACTTTAGTGTTTTTAATTTTAGACAATCCTTAAGCTTTTGTGTGTGTGTTTGCTGATGTGTGTATCGTGTCCCCCTGGGATCCACAAAACATTCAGACATAAACTTAACTGTACTTTTAAAAATATTTTCTTTATTGTGACAGTTCCTGTTTGAGTCGATCATCAGTGTCCTGCTCCTTTCTCTCTTTTTAGTTTTAACCCTTTAATAAAACTGATGTTTTTTTCTTGCAGATGAAATAAAGTTCTTGAACCCAAACCTGGACGAGTCTCAGAGAGACGCCGTGTCCTTCGCTCTGTCCCAGAAGGAACTGGCCATAATCCACGGGCCCCCGGGAACCGGAAAGACGACCACAGTGACCGAGGTCGTCCTGCAGCTCGTCCAACAGGGACTCAAGGTCAGAACCTCCGAACTGAACTCCAACTAAAACCTGAAACCTGAAACCACAAAACCCCAAAACCCAAACCCCAAAACCCAAACGAGAATCAGAACAGACACGAGTAAATACATTCATTTTTATTCAGAATTAATTATTTTTATTCAGAATTAAAACTCTGATGTAAATGTGGCAAATGAAAAGTGAGATTTAAAGTGTGTGTTCTTCTATTTTACTCAGATTGTGTTACGATGATTTTGTGCATGTTTGTGTAACCGTGGACTGTCAGATCATTTAAAGGTTGTATGGAGGATTTTTTTTGGTTTCAAATTGTCAATGAAAGTTTAAAATACCATTACAGAGACGCAGCAGCCTTGTAATTATGATGACAAAAAAAAAAAAAAAGAATGAAAATCCATCAACTGTGGACGTGTTGAGGCCAGATACACATTAGCCAATACAAAACGAGGCTCCCTCTTTATCTATTGGCTGTTAGGTTGTCAGTCAAACTCCCTAGTGTAATTGACTCGCCAGCACACAGGGATTACGTGGTTTATGCAGTGGTTCGTAGAGGATTTTTCAAACTGTAGCTTCCTCACATTTCGCACAAAGTTTGTTGCGATGGCGGACGAGAATCCACGACCAGTTCGCCGCAAAAGAAAGTCCGTTTTTGAGGTCGTTGAAAGAAGAAGAAAAGGAGAAAAGGAGCAAAGCCGATCTGAGGTGATTCTTAGAGATTCCTTCCAGCGATTGCGTGACTGAAGCAGACGAAGGGTCTAAAAACTGATGCATCGGTCGCTAAATTATTTCTAGACAGGTCACTTCAACAGTAATTCTGAACGAGCTCTGGATGTAAACAAGCCTGATTTCTAGAGTAAAGAGGCGGGAGGAGGAGGTGTTTCTACTGAGGGAAGGTGAAGGAGGAAGGTGGAGTCACGCAGGCACAACATTTGAAAAAGGACTGTCGCTGTATTTCTCTTCCCTTAAAAAAATCCTCTATACAAACTTTAAGACTTGACTCCTGTGTTGTGTGTACAGGTCTTGTGTTGTGTGTCGTGTGTGTGTGTTGTGTGTACAGGTCTTGTGTTGTGCGTCGTGTGTGTGTATTGTGTGTTCAGGTCTTGTGTTGTGCGTCTCACATGTGTGTGTGTGTGTGTGTACAGGTCTTGTGTTGTGCGTCGTGTGTGTGTATTGTGTGTTCAGGTCTTGTGTTGTGTGTCGTGTGTGTGTGTTGTGTGTACAGGTCTTGTGTTGTGTGTCGTGTGTGTGTGTTGTGTGTACAGATCTTGTGTTGTGTGTTGTGTGTGTGTGTGTGTGTGTACAGGTCTTGTGTTGTGCGTCTCACGTGTGTGTGTTGTGTGTTCAGGTCTTGTGTTGTGCGTCTCACATGTGTGTGTTGTGTGTTCAGGTCTTGTGTTGTGCGTCGTGTGTGTGTATTGTGTGTTCAGGTCTTGTGTTGTGCGTCTCACGTGTGTGTGTTGTGTGTACAGGTCTTGTGTTGTGCGTCTCACGTGTGTGTTGTGTGTACAGGTCTTGTGTTGTGCGTCTCACATGTGTGTGTTGTGTGTTCAGGTCTTGTGTTGTGCGTCTCACGTGTGTGTGTTGTGTGTTCAGGTCTTGTGTTGTGCGTCTCACGTGTGTGTTGTGTGTACAGGTCTTGTGTTGTGCGTCTCACGTGTGTGTGTTGTGTGTACAGGTCTTGTGTTGTGCGTCTCACGTGTGTGTGTTGTGTGTACAGGTCTTGTGTTGTGCGTCTCACGTGTGTGTTGTGTGTACAGGTCTTGTGTTGTGCGTCTCACGTGTGTGTTGTGTGTACAGGTCTTGTGTTGTGCGTCTCACGTGTGTGTTGTGTGTTCAGGTCTTGTGTTGTGCGTCTCACGTGTGTGTGTTGTGTGTTCAGGTCTTGTGTTGTGCGTCTCACGTGTGTGTGTTGTGTGTTCAGGTCTTGTGTTGTGCGTCTCACGTGTGTGTTGTGTGTACAGGTCTTGTGTTGTGCGTCTCACGTGTGTGTGTTGTGTGTTCAGGTCTTGTGTTGTGCGTCTCACGTGTGTGTGTTGTGTGTTCAGGTCTTGTGTTGTGCGTCTCACGTGTGTGTGTTGTGTGTTCAGGTCTTGTGTTGTGTGTCGTGTGTGTGTGTTGTGTGTACAGGTCTTGTGTTGTGCGTCTCACATGTGTGTGTGTGTGTACAGGTCTTGTGTTGTGCGTCTCACATGTGTGTGTGTGTGTGTACAGGTCTTGTGTTGTGCGTCGTGTGTGTGTATTGTGTGTTCAGGTCTTGTGTTGTGTGTTGTGTGTGTGTGTTGTGTGTACAGGTCTTGTGTTGTGTGTCGTGTGTGTGTGTTGTGTGTACAGATCTTGTGTTGTGTGTTGTGTGTGTGTGTACAGGTCTTGTGTTGTGCGTCTCACATGTGTGTGTTGTGTGTACAGGTCTTGTGTTGTGCGTTGTGTGTGTGTGTGTACAGGTCTTGTGTTGTGCGTCTCACATGTGTGTGTTGTGTGTACAGGTCTTGTGTTGTGCGTCTCACATGTGTGTGTTGTGTGTACAGGTCTTGTGTTGTGCGTCGTGTGTGTGTATTGTGTGTTCAGGTCTTGTGTTGTGCATCTCACATGTGTGTGTGTGTACAGGTCTTGTGTTGTGCGTCTCACGTGTGTGTTGTGTGTACAGGTCTTGTGTTGTGCGTCTCACGTGTGTGTTGTGTGTACAGGTCTTGTGTTGTGCGTCTCACGTGTGTGTGTTGTGTGTTCAGGTCTTGTGTTGTGCGTCTCACGTGTGTGTGTTGTGTGTTCAGGTCTTGTGTTGTGTGTCGTGTGTGTGTGTGTTGTGTGTACAGGTCTTGTGTTGTGCGTCGTGTGTGTGTATTGTGTGTTCAGGTCTTGTGTTGTGCGTCTCACGTGTGTGTGTGTGTGTACAGGTCTTGTGTTGTGCGTCGTGTGTGTGTATTGTGTGTTCAGGTCTTGTGTTGTGCGTCTCACATGTGTGTGTGTGTGTACAGGTCTTGTGTTGTGCGTCTCACATGTGTGTGTGTGTGTGTACAGGTCTTGTGTTGTGCGTCGTGTGTGTGTATTGTGTGTTCAGGTCTTGTGTTGTGTGTTGTGTGTGTGTGTTGTGTGTACAGGTCTTGTGTTGTGTGTCGTGTGTGTGTGTTGTGTGTACAGATCTTGTGTTGTGTGTTGTGTGTGTGTGTGTACAGGTCTTGTGTTGTGCGTCTCACATGTGTGTGTTGTGTGTACAGGTCTTGTGTTGTGCGTTGTGTGTGTGTGTGTACAGGTCTTGTGTTGTGCGTCTCACATGTGTGTGTTGTGTGTACAGGTCTTGTGTTGTGCGTCTCACATGTGTGTGTTGTGTGTACAGGTCTTGTGTTGTGCGTCGTGTGTGTGTATTGTGTGTTCAGGTCTTGTGTTGTGCATCTCACATGTGTGTGTGTGTACAGGTCTTGTGTTGTGCGTCGTGTGTGTGTATTGTGTGTTCAGGTCTTGTGTTGTGCGTCTCACGTGTGTGTGTTGTGTGTTCAGGTCTTGTGTTGTGCGTCTCACGTGTGTGTGTTGTGTGTTCAGGTCTTGTGTTGTGCGTCTCACGTGTGTGTGTTGTGTGTTCAGGTCTTGTGTTGTGCGTCTCACGTGTGTGTGTTGTGTGTTCAGGTCTTGTGTTGTGCGTCTCACGTGTGTGTTGTGTGTACAGGTCTTGTGTTGTGCGTCTCACGTGTGTGTGTTGTGTGTACAGGTCTTGTGTTGTGCGTCTCACGTGTGTGTGTTGTGTGTACAGGTCTTGTGTTGTGCGTCTCACGTGTGTGTGTTGTGTGTTCAGGTCTTGTGTTGTGCGTCTCACGTGTGTGTGTTGTGTGTTCAGGTCTTGTGTTGTGCGTCTCACGTGTGTGTGTTGTGTGTTCAGGTCTTGTGTTGTGCGTCTCACGTGTGTGTGTTGT